CCCACGTCCCTCCCTGGCCCTGATCATGCACCGGTGGGGTCCCTCAGCCTGGCCTGTGCCCTCTCACAATCCAGGACCCCTCGGGGGATGTTGAAGAGCTGGTTTCGGCCCAATCCTGCAGGCCAGGCCAAAGGACCTCACTGGTGCACGAATTCATGCACCAGGCCTCTAGTATTTGATAAAAGTAACCTAAAGGAGGCTAGGAATGAGCCATGCATATTACTGAAGGAAGAGAATGCCAGACAAAGGAACAGCAAATGCAAAAAGCCATGAGAGAGGAGTGTGCCTGGCATGTGCAAGGAGCTCAACAACAGGCTCCTGTGGCTGACATGGAGCGAGCATGAGAAGAGTCATAGCACATACAATCAGAGGTAATAGGCATTAGGTTATAAGCAATTGTAACTTTAATTTTTATTCTGAGTGAGATTGGAAGTCATTGGAGGTTTGAGCAGAGAAGTATTTGTGAGCTGACCTACATTTTAAGTTTACTCTGGCTGCTGTGTCAAGAATAGACTGAGGAAGGTAGGTGTACGGAGTGGGGAAGGCAAGTACAGAAGCTGGGAGACCATTAAAAGGCTTTGCAGTATTTCATTTCCTGAGTTTGGAAGGACAACAGGTTATTTTAAGGATGAGGAGGAGAGAGCAGGAATTTATTTTGGACATGTTCATTTGAAATACTATCTAAGTAAACATACCAAGTAGGCAGTTGGATATATACGTGATAATTGATATCTAATAGGCAAGATAGGTATTGATGTATTGAAGCTCTTGGAAAATAGTTCCCCAACTTGTCTGGGTTATACCTGTTAGGATAGTTAATTTAAAAAAAAAAGAGGACCTTCCTTCTATTTCCAAAGCAATCAATATCATACTCTTTAAGGTTGACTTAGTTCTCTTTAAAAGTAACTGCCATCTGGATTGGAATCGAACTGGCCTCATACTGTGTTCCCTTGATTCTTTTATGCCTTAACTCCTAAGGAGTGATTGGCATATCCTTGGAGAATCTAGTATTCTTTGTGAATACATATGTTATTCTTCCTTAGCATATAGATGTTATTTTAGCTGAGTGGTTTGAAATTAAAAGAGCCCACATATCACCCCATCCCTGCTTCATTCAGTATCAATTTATGTAATGTGAGAGATGTTGGGATTATGTTATGCACATAAATGATGTAGAGGTAGGAAAAAAGGATGAGAAATGAGTATTTAATTCCATTTGCTCAACATCTTCACCTTAATTTCAAGCAACAGATATTCATTGAGCCACTAGTATGCTAGTGAAAAATGAGAGCCCCTGCACTCGAGGAGCTCATTGTGTTCAGGGTGAGGCAGGTGTAAAGTTAGTACTAAACCAATTGTAGCTGCAGTGGAAGTGTATGCACTGGAGCTATACGGTGAAGGATAAGAGCTATCCTGAGAAATCTCAAGCTTGAACTGAATCTTAAGATTACATAGAGCCCTGGCCAGGTAGCTCAGTCGTTTAAAAGCAACATCCCAGCCGAAACCGGTTTGGCCCAGTGGATAGAGCGTCGGCCTGCGGACTGAAAGGTCCCAGGTTCGATTCCGGTCAAGGGCATGTACGTGGGTTGCGGGCACATCCCCAGTAGGAGATGTGCAGGAGGCAGCTGGTTGATGTTTCTCTCTCATCGATGTTTCTTTTTTTTTCGCGCCTGCACGTGTTATTTTGTGGAAGAGCCGCACTCAAGGGGCCAAAGAGCCACATGTGGCTCACGAGCCATGGTTTGCCAACCACAGTCCCAGGTTATGGGTTCAATCTCTGGTCAGGGCACATACAATAATCAACCAATGAATGCATAAGTAAGTGATACAACAAATCTCTCTCTCTCTCTCTCTCTCTCAAATCAATAAATAAAAATTTTTAAAAAAGATTACATATTTTCCAGACAGCTAAAACTTCAGAAGACTTTATTAAGTAGAAAGAACAACAGGTAAAGAGGCACAGAGCTGTGAGTTTGAAATGCATCTCTAGCCAAGAGTAAAAGTTTGAGAGCTTCAAAGTGCAGATTTTGAAAAACTAATGGAAAAGAGCTGAAACACTTCCTCCCAAAGAGGGATCTGTGTGCAGTTGATCTTGTCAAAAGATGATAGTTTACCAAGGGCACAGTAGCAAGAAGAGGCATTAAGCTAACGGTTTCCTATTAAGCCTTTTTATCTCTACCGATCTCTTAGCATAGTAGTAGTGCTACATTTGAGCATGTGTAAGATGTCCAGTAAGTCTAATATGATCGTCCTTAATTATGAAAAATTCTGAGTAAAAACGGTAAAACAGAAGACCGGGAATTTTTCCTTAACAAACACTTGTTATAATACTTATTTTAAGGCACCATTCTAAGTGCTTTGCAAATATTAACTCATTATCTTATAATAACCCATGCATTCAGTACTGTTGTTATCTCCATTCTACAGACAGGAAACTGAGTGGATACTACTTGCCCAAAATCACACAACCAGTAACAAGAGTCAGAATTTGAAATCACATCTGATCTGGTTCTCAAGTTCATGTTCTGAACCACTGTCTCCATTGTTTCTGCTTTTCCCAGCTTCTCAGAATTATGTAGAACAGAAGTCCAGGAACCCTGAAATTGTATGTTAAATGTTGCATGCACATTTTTCAGAAAGAGGGTCCATGTATTAAAAGCATCCGCAAGCATAATGGTTTAGCACTGCTAACCTAACCTAGAGGAGCTTTACATGTCCATTTCATTGCTAAAGAGCTCCAATTGGAATATGGATTCCCTCACAACAAGATATTTAAGTTTTTGGTTAAGTACCACCAATATTATTCCTTGGAGGACAAGGATTATCTTTTCTGTATTCTTTATATATCAAATGGTTAGGACATAGTAAACATTAATAAACAAATGAATGGCACATTGTGAAATATGGCTGCTTTATATTCAAAGATAATAGTAGATAATCACTTTGCATTTCACATAAAACCTTCATGTAACCACATTACACCACCCCAGTTTTCACCTCTAAATGCCCTTTATAGAGCTGGCACTCCTCTATCCTCTTGGCGCCCTTATTTGAAATGAGTTCTCCTTCTGTCAATACTAACTAAATATTAATTAGACAATGCCTCTTTCCCAGAGGCCCACACTGGTATAAATCTTTTGAAATGGTACTCTAGCACCTCTAAAATGTCAAAAGTCCCTCTTTTCCTAAGGTTAGTTCCTCCACTTATATTCACCATTCTCTAACTTTTTGAGAATCCTGCTGTTCCAGCATTTTGGGCATCAGATTATGTGATATAGATCACTCCTAGGAGGTTGGTAATTGAAAGGTTAAAAACACAGTTACTCCTGTTATTTGCAGATTTTTAATATTTCCTACAACTTTTGTGATATGCTATGTTAGTACAGTTTTGGTAATATTATACTTAAAATCCTTTTCTTCTTGAAATATTAATGTTTATTGCTTATAATATTATATGTAAGATCATTTTTCTTCAATGATTGGTGTTTATTGCATGTAACATTATCATATTTAAAATCGTTTTTCTTGGAAAAAAGACACACACAAGTTACAGGGAAAGTAATTGATGAATTCTTCTGGGAGAGAGAACAGAAAGACTGTCAAGTAGACATAACCAAACTATGGAGGAGGAAATAAAGGTACTATTTAAGGTTGGGAAGATAGTAAGTCTTTGGAAAGAGGATACTTGGAGCTCATAGTCAAAGTTTGATGAAGAGTAGATATGCTGTTGAAGTATGGGCATTTGTCCCCACAAAGAAGTGCTGGGGGTGGGAATATAGTGGTGCTAGATAGGCACTCCCCCCACTCTTTGTTTTCTTAGAGCAAAATGAAAGAGAAATGGGCATGGTTACTGATTATAGAACTTGCCCAGAGAAATGTTTTCCTGCAGTGCAAGAGCATGACTAGGAAAGTCACTAATGACAGAAACCAGTGGGAAGTGGTGGTTTAAAGCAATTCTCCTCCTCTTCTCCCTTCTTACAGTGTATGGTTCTTATAATCTGCCTCACTGGAAGCTGCCTGTTTCTGAATGTATATGCCAACCAGTGTTGCCCCTGAATAAAAATACTAACTTTTTAAAAAATAGAAACAGCATGCTCTGAATTGAAAGGGCCATGGAAGCTTGTATTGTGAGAAGAAAACTCATTTCTTTGCTTGCTCAAAGGCTTTTTTTTTTTTAATCCTCACCTGAGGATTTGTTTATTAATTTGAGGGAAAGGAGAGAGGGAGGAAGGGAGGGGAAAGAAAAAAAACCACACCAATCAGTTGCCTACCGTATGTGCCCCAACCAGAGATGGAATCCGCAACCTTTTGGTGTATAGGACGATGCTCCAGTCAACTAACCCACTTGGCCAGGGCCAAAGGCTTTTCTTCTTATAGTTGTCTGTTGTACCAGTACTTGACCCACAAGCTTTTCCAACCATAAGACTTAGGAAATAAGATTTTATAAAAGAAACAACTTTAAAACCAACATCTAAAAAAAGATAAGGGGCAGTATGACCACTTATTTTGGAGGGGGGGGATCAGGTTTTAGGGTCATACAAATTGCATTTGAGCCTGGTCCTTCTGTGTACTAGCAGTGTGATCCTGGATCTTTCTGAACCTCAGTTCCTCATCTGTAAAATGAAAAGGGAGTGACAACTACTTTGGGATGGTAATAATGAATATTAGAAATTATATCATTAATAGGTAGGTGGTAGCAGCAACTACTGTTAATAACCATAGAAACAAAGGAATAATTGAATAGAATTCTGGGTATGGAACTTGTGTCTTGAATTCATTCCCCCTGGAGCTCCTCCTAGAGAGCGGTGGTGTTGCAGGTTGTCCCAGTACTCACTCTGACAGTGCAATGAGTAAGGATATGCTTTGCAATGTATGAGCTGGTGTGTCTTGATTTGAGGGGTCCTGCTCTATCTAAAGGAGCAAAGAAATAGGGTGATATATTTTAAGACACATAAATGTTCGTTTCTGTGTTCTAATTTTCCCTTGTTCTTTCCTGGCAGGTAGCTGTGAAAAACAATATTGATGTCTTCTACTTCAGCTGCCTCATCCCACTCAATGTGCTTTTTGTAGAAGATGGCAAAATGGGTGAGTATGTCCTCCTGTCCTGGCAACTATACCTTTGCCCTTCCTCTGAATGTTAGGCGGAGCATAGCCCAAAAGTACAAGGCATTTTTTTTAGAATATATTTTATTGATTTTTTTACAGAGAGGAAGAGAGAAAAATAGAGAGTTAGAAACATCCATGAGAGAGAAACATCGATCAGCTGCCTCCTGCACACTCCCTACTGGGGATGTGCCCGCAACCAAGGTACATGCCCTTGACTGGAATCGAACCTGGGACCTTTCAGTCCGCAGGCCGACACTATCCACTGAGCCAAACCGGTTAGGGCAGTACAAGTTATTTTGAAATTTGAAAAAAAATGGGATGGGTAAGGCTATTCTAAAGCTGTAATAATTGCTAATTATGTATTCGCCTAAGTCACAGTGGTCTTGTTTTGCTGTTGGTCTCTAAATTACAATGCCATTTTTCTGAGTAACCCCGTCACCCCAGCATACAGAGTGCAGGCATACCTCAATTTACTACACTTCACAGATACTGCATTTGGAAGTTTGTGGCAATCCTGCAATGAGCAAGTCTGTTGGTGCCATTTTTCCAACATTTGCTCACTGGTTTCTCTGTCACATTTTTATAATTCTCTCACTATTTCACACTTTTTCATTATAATTATAGTAATTTGTAATAAACTACTAATATTACTCATGTGATTGTTGACATTTCTCTCTTCCCTTACTTATAAAAGCACCATCTAATAAAACTAGTATATATTGGTGCATATTGAATTGTATTGGCACTTAATTGACTTGATTCTTACAGTCCTCTTTGGGTAAGCAAGACAGACATATGGTGAAATTAAGGATCAGAAGCGTTACAAACTTACCCAAAGTTACCAAATAGGAAAAACAGTAGAGCCAAAACTAAACCCTACATGTAAGCTCTTCCAGTGTATCTTAGTACTACTGATGAGGGATTAATTGACTTGGAGTATAGCATCTCTGCATGGCCAAAAATCGGCTCCAGGCCCAGGCTACCCTTGGCTGTATTGCTATTGCAAGAGCCAGCACTCCAAAGGAGAAATGGTGCAAGTCATCAGAAATCAGAATATTGACAGATTGTGCACATCCTTCCTTTCCCTCTGCTTCCCCATGCAGAGCGCCAGGTCTTTCTTGCAACATGGAAGGATATTCCCAATGAAAATGAACTTCAGTTTCAGATTAAGGAATGCCATTTAAATGCTGGTGAGTAATGACTACATTTAATTTTTTGTCTTTATTTACCTCTTCTTTTTATACCTACCTTGTTTCTAGTGGTTATATGGTACATATATTACTTTGTAAACTTCTCTTTAAAAACCTGGGATGTTTTGATGTAGATACTAGATTACTATAAGCTAACAGATTTAAGAAACAAGCTAGAATGATTCCATCTTCGCAGTTCAGTAGTTGAACATGTGTTAGTCATATTATTTGAACATCCTATAAGCCATCGAATAATTTAAATGGCATTTAAGGATGTATACTCTCCCTAGAAAAGGACTATTTTTCCTTTATTATCTACCTTCACTATGGAAGGAAAAGTGACTCTGATACCCTTATTTAGAATCTTGTGTTTGTTATTAAATAAGAATACATCATAGTTGATTAAAGACTAGTTGGTAACCTTTTTCTTTCTTCCCTTGTATCAGCATTTATCATGATACTAACCTCTTTAATCGCCATTAAAAACCCCAGACCATTTTGTAGTTATTTTTATTACCATATTACCATAATAGAGGTAACACAAGAGGAGAAACAATAGCAGCTATCAGTCCCTGGGACTTTGATTCACTGAAGTGTTCCTCAAGAGTGGAAGGAGCACTAAGCTCTTCAGAGTCCTGCCTTTGTCCAGTCTCTTTTTAAGTTAATACAAGTTAAGTTTAAATAAAAGTTAGCCTTGGTGTTTGGTCCATACCTCCTTTTTCTTCATTTACCCCTCATTTCATTCCCCATATGTTGCCGGTTCTCATAAGTAAACTTCTCTTTAAAAACCTGGGATGTTTTGATGTAGATACTATGCTGTCATCCTCTTATAGCTAGAGCATAGTACTGAAGGAGGCAGTATGGCAGGTACAGAGAGGAAAAAACTGTCTTCTCGCTCCAAAATTTTCTTTTTAATTTTAGTTTTTTGGGCTCTATGATGTATTCATGCTCTGTTCAGACAGATCTTTTCTGACAAGGTTTCTCCAGAGCCCTTGGAGAGGTGTTTGAGGAGATAAGTCTTCTATAATTTTTATTGTAATAACTAGTTAATTGATTTTCTTCAGGTATACCATATCTGCCTTCTTTCTAATATATTCTTGGTCTAGGTTTCTCACCATGACTGGTTATGTCTTTATGCAACAAAACCAGAGTTTTTGCTGTAACTAGTACACGCGCGCGCGCGCACACACACACACACACACACACACACAAACCATACTCAAATTGAGCTGCTTTTTGTGCCATGTTCTAGGTAGATGACAGTGTTTCCTGTCACTCTCTGTGAGGTTCACCACAAAACTCATTTGATGAGTGTAGGAGGTTGGGCAACTTTCCACAGTACAACAAGCTGTTCTTCAGGAGGACGTCAGGTGCTTCAGGAAGCTTGTCAGGTCCACGCTGGCTGCTAATGCTAAGAGCCAGCATGGATCCTGTTAAGAGAAGCAGCCTCTGTACCCAGCTTGGAAAAGACCAAGCCCTTCGTTATAGTTACCCTTGTGGTAGTTGGTCCTTTGGCAACATTTTGTATGTTATGCTCCTGAAAACATTTGTTCTTTTAAAGGTGGCGGGGGGGTGGTCCTATGGTCAATTAAAGTTGAAAAATGCAGTGCACGATGTTCCTGTCTTAGAAGTTGCTATTGCACATTAGCACACTAAAAGCTGAGGAGTCCTACACTGAGAACACCTATTTAGATCATTGTTGACTGGCATTTAAAATTACAGAACGTTAACATTTTTTGGAACACAAGAGTTCCTTGAACACGATCTGGGAAACATTGGCCTATAAGACACAGAGAAAGGCCAGACTAATTGGAAAGATTTGGTTTCTGACATCCAGTGTGAAAGGAATATGCTTTAAACGGGAGGGGAGGAAGTTTGGATAACTTAGTCTGGCCTGCCAAAATAATAGAAAAGATCTCCCTGCTTCCAGATTGGAATCGTGAGCACTCTTGTACCTTGATGTACATTCTTGATCTTGCCAAAGAAGTGTCTGGCCTTTCTTCCAGTGGGGCTGTGTCTTCTGATGTAGCCTGGACCAGTTTCTCGGAGCAATTCCGTTCTGATCAGTTCTGCCATGGCTCCATGCCAGTTTCTCCTGGCCTTGGGTGCTCCAAATGCCAGCGAATGGGTTTTCCGGCGTTACACAGCTCTATGGTGGCACAGCACATGGAGTAGAAGGAGAACAGCCTCTCTGTGTTCTCCAGGAGCCCAAGCCATCGTTTTCCCACACTAAACCACTGCTAGTCTTTCAAGAAGCTAATCCTTTCTCGCTTTCCATCTGCTTCCACCCCAAGGTCTGGAGTGCCCTGGCCTTTGCACTTCCTTCCATTCTTGAAGCTCTATTAACATGAATGTTTCCAGGTTTAGTGCCTTCTGATTCAACACCCTAGGTCTAGCTGAGAGCTAAAAATACCATCCTTTCCAGCTGATCTGCCCTAATCACAATAGCACCAACACTTTAAATAGCTTTCTGTGCCAGAGTAGACATTTGACAGATGGCAGTAACAGTCTGAGGGCTATGGGAAGTTACAAGCTTAAAGGACTTACCAACCTAGCATTGAGCTTTTACTTTTGCTCCTCCATTTCTTTCTAAAGAAGAAACTCTCTTCCCAAGCCTTAATAATTTATCAGATCTTAATAGAAAGGCATATGTGATAGGGGTGCTTGTGGTGCCACTAGTTGTATAAATACTAGAAAGTACTAGATCAGAAAGGCACTAACTTATGGGTCTCCCTGCTTTCTAGTACTAGTCATCTCTACTGGTGTCAAGATCTGTATGAATCTGTTTTGTAGTTACCATTATAGTTGCATTTAGGGTTGGTATATGTCTGGGACCACTGTCTTAAGTAAATAAATAGTTGCATCTCTAGCCATATCTAGAAAGGAATCTTTCTGGCAAGCAGTCTACATACCTTTTTTTTTAAATGTTTATTATGCTCTGAAAAGCTCAGAGGCATGTTGTATATACAAGGGTAGGCAAAAGTAGTTTTACAATTGTTCATATGGAAAATAATACAATAATCTATATATAAAAAAGCCTTAAGCGACTGTTATGATTGGAACGACCAGTCCACCAGTCGCTGTGACACACACTGACCACCAGGGGGCAGACGCTCAACACAGTAGCTGCACCGTGGTCAGTGCGCTCCCACAGCCAACCTCCCATGGCCCCTCCCCCACACATACACACTGGCTGGCTTCCCGCGGCCCCTCCCCCCTGCCAGCTCCCACCCCCATAGGCCCTGATTGGGGGGAGGCCAGCTGGCCAACCTCCCGGGGTCCCTCCCCCTGGCCAACCATCTCCCCCCCTCCATAAGCTTATATCGCTGGGCCAGGCCGAGGGACCCCTCCCATGCACGAACTTGTGCCCCAGGCCTTGAGTTAATAAATAATACAAGAATAAACTGTGTTACATGTACTCACAACTGTAAACCCATTTTGTCACTAGTTAGGCACTGTCATGGGGGACATTTTTTTTGGCAGGAGAGCTAGGCCAGGGTGAGCTCTGTTTCTTTATTTTGGTGTGGTTCTCTCCATCCTCTGTAACATCTCATAAATGGAAATGTTTTGCCAGCCAGTACTTAAATATAGTTTGGTTGCTCAAATGGTAAAAAAAATGTTATTTTCAGCAGTAATAGTGGTTTTGAACTTGCTAATGAATACCACAGGTGGGTGCCAAATGCAAATTCTCCTCTTCCCACTCTCCAAGCACTGTCTTTTTACTCTTACTGCTGCTGGAAGAGGTGACTTAGCTAAAGTAGGAAGATGAAGGAAGAGAGACCACATCTATTCCTTCTAAGATTTTAGGCCCCAGACCCAAAGAGCCAAATTTGAGGAAGACAAATGAACCAGAAGAAATCACATCTTGAAGCAAATACAGTTGACCCTTGCACAGTGCAAGAGTTAGGGACGCTGACCACCATGCAGTCAAAAGCTTACAGATAACTTAAGTCAGCCCTCCACATACACAATTTCCAACCACCACTTGACCCGTGAACACTCGGATTTGAACTGCTTGGGTCAATTGAAAAACCCACTTCTAAGTGGACCAGGCATTTCAAGCCTGTGTTGTTCAAGGGTCAGCTCTATAATTATATTTGACCATCTTTTTTTTACTCTTTGGAGCACAACTCAGTGTCTTAACATTACTTCTTATTCTCAAAGTTTCAAAACTGTAAGATTCCATCTTGTTTCCCAAGAGTTCGGGTGTGTGAAAAATACCTGATACCTTGTCAGGAAGTCTATCCCAGTCTGGCTGGGAAGCCTTATCATACTGGCTTTCATTGCCATTTTTAATAGGTATATTTAGTAGAGTCTGATTATCCTGCCATCTATGCATCCTCAAGCTCAAACCTAGTATCTAAGATTCATAAAAATTGACTCATACATATTCTTAAGTTATTGAACACGCCCTCCATTCAGTATTTCGATAGAAATAATGCCACAGCCATTCAGGAGGAGCAGAGCCAGTTCCTGGCCAGAATGCTTCCAAGTGTATTAGAGTTACATCCATTCAACTTGCTTACTCTGCCTGGCTGATGGCCATGTTTTCTAATTCTAGAAGGGGTGAGTGTGTATGTGTATTTGTATGCTTCTGCTTCTGCTTCTTAGCCTATCATCTCTTACAGAGGCGGTAAATCATGAAATGTCTTTAGGAATCTGGGCCTCATTGTATACATGGTCTAGAACATATTTGTACCTATGCACCTTGTTCGGGGTGCATGCAAGGTGGCTTTTCAATAAAGGATCCTACCGAGTGTGCTTTCCACTTCCTTGGAAATGGGCAAGAGCCTTGAAAGTTAGGAATGGCTTTACACCTAAAAGCAAGCCCCCATGTTTTAAAGACAGCCCCGTCAAAAGGTATTAGCCACACTCCAGCTGGTGACATTGCCTAGTACCCAGTCTAGGTTGCAGGACTCCTTCAATGTGAGAACCAAGGTGACAATAAGAATTGCCTGGTCCCTCAGAGGTGAGTAAAAAAGCATATTGAGGCCTCCTCCTCCAACAGTATTGCGTATAACTAGTAACTAACCTAAGATACACATTCTGGCTCCTCAAAGAGAGCCAGTTCTTAACTACTCTGCTTGGTGCTAGTGAAAACCTTTGGAATTAAAAGGGGAAAAGTTAAGTAATAACTGGGTTTAATGAAAATGTTTAATGAATGGACTTTAGTGCCTCCTCCCCTGAGCTTTCACTGGTTTGACTGTGGGAGAAAGATGTCAGGGCAAGATGATTTTTTAGTGACTATGATGCTATATACAGATCAGCATCACCAACACCTGAGTCAGAGGCCTATTCACAGGTATTGATGGCAGGTATCCATTGCGTCCCAGGTACTGTGGGAAGCACAGTGATGAAAAACTTCAGGATCCCTGTGCTCAAGAGCTTCCTGTCTAGGAGAGCATAAAGACTGTCCGTCATGGCAATCTTTTCCTAGAGAGCACAATAGAATATGATAGATTTTTATACGGAAAGAAGTTAGTTCCTGAAGTTGGCATGAGTAAATTAAATTCTCATCAGAAATGAACATAATAAACTGTCAACCAAGAAGCAATGTTCATAATTTCTATTAAAGTTTCTCTTTGATGCTGCAGCAGCTTTCATATTAGCAGTAAGAAACCAAGAAGAGAGAAATGACCTTTAATTCTAAAATGTCATGTCTCTTTGATGCTGTGGTCACAAGGAAGGCCCCATTCTTAGTCACCTGGATTGGTAACTAAGGGCCTCCATTCTGTAACGAGCAACAGCAGCTGAGGTTACAGGGCCTTGTAATAATCATCTTTGTTCAGTTTCAGTATTTCTCAAAGTCTTTTATTGAGATAGTTTGTTTCATTATTAATTTGAAGTCATGGTATTCCCTACAAGCTTTAGGGATCATTTGCCTGCTTTAAAAAAAAAACAAAACTTACATCCATGTTAACAAATTTGACTTGCAGGATTTCTGCAACTCTGCTGTTTTCTGATTCTGGCCGTTGAGGCCAGAGGGGCTCACAGTGAAGTAGTAGTGACTAGGAATTAGGGTTGTGGATTTGATCGTCAGTCTGCGTCTCTTGTGACTCTGGGACCAGCGTTCCAAACACGAATACCAACACAGGAGTCACCCTGGCACACTCATACACCCATTTCTGTCTTTGTCCTCTTCAGACCATTTTTACCTATCTAGCACCAGTTAATACCAATCTCTTTGACCTACCGTATCTCCTCAGGTATTTCTTATACTAATACTTAGTTGCCCCTTGTCCTTTTTTCTGTCCTGGAATGTGATAGGCACTTCAAGAGCCTCTTCCTCACCCTTTGCTATTATGGGAGAAGGGCTTTCTGAAATGTGCGCATGGAATGGTACTTATTGGGATTTCAGCACATGTGGCCATTAGGATGTCAGAAGAGAGTTAGTAAGCATTTGCTTGATATTTTGAATCTGTGTTTCTAGACACTGTTTCCAGCAAGTTGCAAAACAACAACGTTTATACTATTGCCAAGAGGAATGTGGAAGGGCAGGACATGCTGTACCAATCTCTGAAGCTCACTAATGGCATTTGGATCTTGGCTGAGCTACGTATCCAGCCTGGAAACCCCAATTATACGGTAAGGCCCTTCTCGGAATGGGTGAGATGGGATCAAGGAGGGAGGTAAGAGCCCTTTCATTTTTTCTTAGCACCCTGGAAAGACCTGGAAGAGGTGCTTCGGACCCCGTATGTCAGAACAAGTAGTCAATAAAGAAGTCCTCTGTTGCCTCTGTGGAAGACCTCTTTACAGTGGCTGCCCTATCAGCACAGGCATGGTGCCTCTGCAGCAAGAGTGCCTCACTTTCCCTAAAATATATAGAGTTGCTTACAAAACAGGGCAACTTTTTCAGTCTCAATTAATACATACCTAGCCTGTCTGTGCATGTGGCCCCATAACAAGCCGCCAGGAGGATTGTTAACATAGCTCATTTCAAGGAGGCCTTCTTTCCTGCTTTTGGAGTTCATGACCTAATGATATCGGAGTTGTGAACACCTGAGACTGTTTTTAGCATTATTCATCCTGAAATACTTTTATGAAAGGTAAGGCAAAATGAAACACGTTTTTGGCAGCCTAAAAGGAACGTTAGTTTAGAAAACTTCCTTCAGTGCTACAATGGATTAAAATTTAAATTCTGACAGTGCTTTTAGGACAGGAGCACATTCCTTTGTTAAACAACAAAGATTTATACCCTAGACACTGGGCATTTGTTTGCTATTCTCAAATGTGATCTCCCAATAGGATGTTGTTTGTCATCTGCATTTTACAAAGTAAAGGTAAAAACAACTTGGGATGGGAAACATATTTTATTCTTTTGTTATGTTTGAGGTTTCTGTAGGCTGTTTTAAAGGAGGGGACAGGAAAGCGATAGAAGAGAATAAGACTCAATATTGAATAACTCTGAAGAAGCTAATTAGTAGATTAAGGGAGCCTTTTAGCCATTTAGCTGATAAAAGTCTGTGATCGCATTCCTTAATTTTTAATAGTCAAGTCTGCCTTCACTAGTATGCATCAAGGTCATAGCACCATCCAGAACTGAAAATTCTTGCTGTTTTTCCCACTAGTTCCCTCCCTTGGTGAGCATGTGTGTGAGCTGCTGAGTCCTATCAAGTCATATTATTGCCCAAGCACTTATGAGCTGGGAAACTTTGGGCTTTCCTCATAAAGTGTACTCTCTTCCCACCCACCTTCTCCACCACCAGTTCATGTGTTTTTGTCCATCCTTTTATTTTTCATCTCAGCTGGGTCAAAGAAGCATGGTTATCTCAGAAACCAAAGTTAAGAATGATTAGTAACGCCCTAGCTGGTTTGGCTCATTGGATAGAGCATTGACCTGCGGACTGAACAGTCCCGGGTTTGATTCCAGTCAAGGGCACATGCCCAGGTTTTGGGCTCAATCCCCAGTGGGAGGCATACAGCAGGCAGCCTATTGATGATTCTCTCTCATCATTGATGTTTCGATCTCTCCCCCTCCCTCCCTTTCTGAAATCAATAAAAAAAATTTTTTTAAAATTTTTTTAAGTTTAACTTCTTCATTTGAAATAATTTGAATTGCAAAAAGTTTTTTAAATGGTACATAGAGTTCCCATGTGTCTTTCACCCAGCTTCCCCATTGATAACATCTTACATTTCCATTGTGCATTTTCAAATGGAAATGATATTGATAAAATAATACTAACAAGACCACAGATGAGTCTTTCTAATACTCTGTTGTGTAGTGTACAATACTATGAAATCTTATCACATGTATAGATTTGTATAACTACCACTACAGTCAGAACCCAGAATTGTTCCATCATAACAAAAACCCCCTCTTGCTATCTCGTTATATTGAGACTCTCACGCCTGCCCTAACCCCTGGAAACCACTGATGTGTAGTACTCCATTAAATTCATATAACATGTAACATTTTGAGACTTTTTTTTTTCACTTAGCATAATACCCATGATATCCACCTAAACTGTTGCATGTATCAATAGATTGTTCTTTTTTTTTTTAATATATTTTATTGATTCCTCAGAGAGGAAGGAAGGGAGATAGAGAGTTAGAAACATCGATGAGCGAGAAACATCGATCAGCTGCCTCCTGCAATCTCCCACTAGGGATGTGCCCGCAACCAAGGTATATGCCCTTGACCGGAATCGAACCTGGGACCTTTCAGTCCGCAGGCCGACGCTCTATCCACTGAGCCAAACCGGTTTCGGCTAGGTTGTTCTTTTTTAGACGAAGTCGTAATCCACTATGTAGATATACAACAGTTTATCTGTTCATCTGTTGAAGGACATTTCCTACCCTATATATTTTTAAATTTTTCATTTTGAGATCTTTGTAGATTCACATGCAGTTGTAAGAAATAGTCCCATGAGACCCTATCCTCAAGGTGTGCCAGTTTATACCCACTACCACCTCTCTCCCTCCCCTGTATTTGTATATAATAAGTTTGTTAATGTTTCCTTGTACCCTTTCCTATCTTCTATCTATCTGGTGACTAGGTTCCTACTGCCCACAAAACCATCTAAATTTTTCTTTACAGTCTGACACGGGCCTAATCCATTCCCCTAAATGTGTTCCAGACTTCAAAATCTTTCGGATCCATTTCCTTCCCCTCATCACCCTAAACACCCATTGTACTATTGATCTGATCTCAGCTACCAATTTAGGAGGAAAAAAATTTGTCTGGTTGAGCCCAGTACCAGTGCATGAGAACTGATAGTCCCTTACTCTTCTGAGAGAATGATAAATTATTCCCCCGCCCCAATCCTTACTGTATTTCATTACAAAGGTTCTTTTTGTTCTTGTTTTTTTAATGTCCTAGTCAGGTGGCTCAGTTGGTTGGAGCATCATTCCATAAACCAAAAGTTTGCAGGTTCAATTCCTGGTCAGGACACATACCTAGGTTGCAGATTCGATCCCCAGTAGGAATATGTATGGGAGGCAGCCTTTTGATGTTTCTATTTCTTTTCTTTTCTTTTTTAATATATTTTATTGATTTTTTACAGAGAGAAAGGGAGAGGGATAGAGAGTTAGAAACATCAATGAAAGAGAAACATCGATCAGCTTCCTCCTACACACCTCCCTTTGGGGATGTGCCCGCAACCAAGATACATGCCCTTGACCAGAATCGAACCTGGGACCTTTCAGTCTGCAGGCCGACGCTCTATCCACTGAGCCAAACTGGCCAGGGCATGATGTTTCTATTTCATATTCATGTTTCTCTCACTCTCTCCTTCCCCCTCTCCCCTTGTCTCTCTTCCCCTCTCCCATCCTATCTGAAATCAATAATATCTATAATAATAAAAAACATATTGTGCAAATCAACCGAACGGCTGAACAGTGCAACAACCTTCCAGACAACCTTCCGGGCTGGGAGGGGTTGCAAGGGCCGGGACTGCAAAGGCCTACTCTTGCACAGATTTTGTGTGTCGGGCCTCTAGTCTTGTTAATAAAGAGGCAAAATGGCCCTAGCATTGGATAGAGCATTGGCCTGCGGACCAAAGGGTCCCGGGCTCAATTCTGGTCAAGAGCATGTACCTTGGTTGCAGGTTCTCTGACCCTGTTCGGGGTGCATGCAAGAGACAACCAATCAACGTGTTTCTCTCACATCAATGTTTCTGTCTTTCCCTCTCTCTTCCACTCTAAAAACCAGTAGAAAAATATCCTCGGGTGAGGATTAACAAAAAAAAAAAAAAGGCAAAATGACATATCATCAAAGACATAATAAGAGCAATGGTATTAGCAGTTCAAAAAGCAAATAGGAAATTTTCTGGTTCTAAAGGCAATTTGCATGCTTCCACTGTTGTAGTGCTAATATTTTGCCTAATCTAATACGATTGAGTCTGAGTCTGGATTTAAATTTCGGACTTGCTGACCAATGAAGCGAAAATTTCAGTGAAATCTTTTAATATTTTCATTTTTATTTGGTAATTGTTAGGCTAGAAGAGGTGGTGCTGGAGAAATAGAATGGTATCAGAAGTGTCTGATTTGCCTTCTAAAAAAGGCAGAAAATAAGATTAAGTTGTTGGCATGAATTGCTGTCTGGTTATTGAGTAAATGTCTTTTTTGTGATAATTAATTTTCCCGTCATGACAGTGTGTGCTCTCCTCAATATAATACAGAAAAACACTAGTACCTCGGACTTGGCTAGCTTATACTTGTATTTTACTTGATTGTACATCCTCCTGTACTGAGATAAGCATCCCTGTTGGACTGAGAAACAGAGGCAGACAGCTGAAATGACCACCAGCAAGTTAAGGCTTTAGCCCTTCCCTTTTCATTTGGGAATAATCTCGATGATGCTTAGCAAACCATTGGAGCAGCTGTGCCCCTATAGTCAGAGACTTGGATGTTTTTAGTATGGAATATTTCCTAACCTCATAGACCCACATAAAATGTAGGTGGAAACACAGCATAACCTGACACTGATTAAATTAAAATTCTGAAACCCATAGGGCAGTACCTCAAACAGGATCTCTCTGACTACTCAGTGATAGATCTCCTCTCCCACTGTATCAGAAAGAGTTTCTTAACCTGACTACTTGGCTGCCTTTCGAGTCAGTGCCGATCTCCATGCTAATCTTTCTTCTCCTTTCCCTCCCAACAGCTGTCGCTGAAGTGTAGAGCTCCTGAAGTCTCTCAGTACATCTATCAGGTCTACGACAGCATTTTGAAAAACTAATAGACTGCTCTGGTGCCCTCCGGCCACCCTGTGATCGGTGCAAGCCAAGAACTCTTAACTAGAAGAAATTGTTTTGCCGTGTAGAAGCTGAACCTAAATACACTGAGGCCACCCACCAAGGTAGTGACTAGTCTAACCTGTGCTAAATTAGGCCGCACCGTCGGATAGTGTTAGCTTTCTGTGAACTTTGTAACCACTGCTTCAATCACTTCCCACCTTTGCCTCCTGTTGCTGCTCTCTGTCCTTACTTGTGGGCTTCTCCATTCTGGGCCAATGGCTGGCATTTTTTAGCGTAGTTTGATATTTTGTAATTGAGAGTTCATTTCAAAAGCAGAAAAAGACAAAAAATATTAAAGCAAGGAAAAGTGTCACTGAAACGTAAGCTGCACTTTATTGTTTTATATTTTTGTACATAAGAGAAATGGAGGGAGCAGTGTAATCATTGCTACAAAGTGTAAAAACAGCTGGCCGTCATCCCTGCAGTCCTGGAGGAAGACACAGCTACTTGCCCACCCTGTGAGGGGTTTTCTCATCTCTGGCAACCTGGCCCCTAGTCATTTGGATTTTCACGTTTTTTTCCTTTCCAAGCTCCTTTTCTTTGTGATTCCCCCTGCCCTGTATTATCCTCTCATTTGATTGCTCTGCAGTTGGGAATAGTGGTCTTCCATGAGTGCTGTTTTAGGTGTAGGAATAGGGCCTGTCGGTACCAAGGCTGAGAGAAATCAGAACTTACTACATTCCTTTCCCCTGCTCTGACCCATTAATGACACTAGTAAGGAATTTGAGTAGAGATGGGAAACAGGAACCAAAATGCCTTTCCCCCACCCCCTGTCCTGTATTTGGTTTAATTCTCAGGTCCATTTCAGAACCAAAAGTCATAGTTTTAGAGTTGAAACAGACTTTAATTAATAACTTAGCCAATGCTGTTTTTCTAAAAAAGGAAACAGTAAAAGGCAAAGGGGGTATTATTGCCTGAGGCCTGTGAGCTGTTCAGTAGCAGAGCTGGGGGACTGGGTCCCCTAAATCCCCATCTGTGTTGTTTTCACTGCAGTGGTGTCTCGGTTTTTCTCTCCTCAATGCCTTCTTCTTGCCTTCCTTCTCTGTGCCTGCTTCTTTATGGCTTTTCTCATACTCCACACTGGTTTGGGCACTTCATTCATTGGCATCAGGTGGCAGCAGAGTATCTTTTCAGTCACTTGAAGGTAAATCCAGGTACCAGAATGAAGGAGTAGCTAATGTTTCCCATAGGCTCCTGAAGCCAAAATTCTTGAGGCCCCCAGCGTGGGTGCAGAGATGGGGTAAGCTTGAAGATGTCACAGATTCCCTTGGTCCCTACAGCTCTCTGCTTTGCTCTTGACTCGTGTTCTTTAGGCTCCCAGGCAATTGAGATCATCTCAGAGGGTTAAGCAGTTCTTGTCATCTCCCAAAAGATAGGGAGATGTGACATCCCCATGCTTATTAACACACCGGTGTGTTTGTCAATGAATGCCTTGGTTGCAGGTTCTCTGACCCTGGTTGGGGTGCATGCAAGAGGCAACCCAAAACACCAGCCTGTTTAGCAGTGTTCACACCGTTTCATCTGTGGGCACTTGTGTGGCCTGGCACTCAGGATTCAGAGTCCACGACCAAGACTATTTCTCAGCTGCCCCTACTTAAATCAGAGACATTTCAGGGTCCAAAGGCCTGATACTGGACTCAGACCTACAAGTGAGTCCCAGTGGAGGAAACGTAGAGAAAACAAGAGCAAAGCCCAGCTGGTGTGGCTCAGTGGTTGAGCATTGACCTATGAACCAGGAGGTCATGGTTCGATTCCCGGTCAGGGTTGCGGTCAGGGTTGCGGCTGCGGGATCCCCAGTAGAGGGGTGTGCAGGAGGCGGCCAATCAGTGATTCTCTATCATCATTGATGTTTCTATCTCTCCCACTCCCTTCCTCTCTGAAATCAATAAAAATATATTTAAAAAAAAACAAGTGCAGAAACTGTCCCCCAGCCCCCGTCCTGCCATGTCTGAAATGACCCCGATTTAAACCATTTGCAAAGCTTGGGGGAGTAGGTCTCCCAAAGCAGTTTCTTAAACCTTGAGAATCTCCAAGAGAAAACTTGCTGGGGTGGGGAAAGGAATTATTTCCTGCGCCTTCCACCCCTCCGGCACAGAGAAGTAACACAGGGTTGTGTATGGGAGGTGGATGGGTTGGTGGTGTGTGGGTGGGAAAAACAGGTTGATCAAGTTCCCTGGTTGGGAAATCATTCATAGAGTTTGTTGGATACAAGCAGTAAAAGTTCACACTACAAATACTGTATTCTCTTCTTAAAGCAAATTGTAGTTCCAAAAGGAGGAGTGTGCCAGGGTAAGCAGACAGAACAATTTTGTATCAGGCTATGTTCCTCCGCCCCTGAAACTCGGCTTCTCTCAGCCTCCCCAGCAGTGACCGGAACAACTGCTGTTCTCAGCTGATGTCACTGAGCCAATCTGAACTCAGCTCCTTGGGGAGGCTGCCTCTTGAGCTCCCCCAGCACCTAGGGAGGGTTCTGCTCCACAGAAAAGGACTCTCCCCAAGAGACAGAACCTGTTGTCTCCACCGCAGCTTCCCTTTTGGCCCTTTTCAAGCTCGGCCCAATTAGGGAAATGGAATGGAGATTGCCCTGCGTTTCCCTCTCCTCTGCCTCAGTATGTCTTTGTCACGTCAGCTGGTGTCATACAAAGGGCAAGGGGAGCACACACACAGCCAGAACTCTTGCTGGTCAGAGATTCCCTGAGTGTCTGTCCTGCCCGAGCCTGTTCAGTGTGTCTGTGTTGTGAAGCTTGGAACTTGAGAGAAATGGGGAGGGGGGAGGGGTGTCACCCTAAGAATGCTTATCATTCTCTTGTTGTTGGGATCTGTTCTCGGGGAGGGTGGGGGTTGGGGGAAGCTTGACCTTGTGTCTTCCTCAATAAACTCTTCATTTACACAAAATGAAGTATTTGGTGTATGTACTTTGTTCTCAGAACTGATACTCTAGGACAAAACACAGCTGGCCAGGGGAGGAATGGGTGCTGATAACCACACTATTAGAACTTTTCTTTGGCTGCCTCCGGGGATTTAGCTAGACAAATCAAGATTGGCCTGAGGAGAAATCCCAGGGGCTCCTGTGAACCAAGCCCATACCACCATCACCACTACGGGCATCTCGCCTCAAGCAGGGAGTGATCAGAAGGAGCCAATCTGTCTTCCCTGGCAGCTCCCTTGCTGGGCTGTAGGCAGATGGTCCCATGGGCAGAAGGAGCACAGCACAGCTCATCAGTTTCCTATTACTCAGGACATTTCACTAATCCCTCCATTTATAAAAGGCTTTCAGACCTGGATCGGACTGCGTGTCCCCAAGGGAATAGAATTAATGCTGCTGGAAAGCAAACTTCCCAAGGAGTTCAGGTCACCTGCATGTGTTACTGGGGGCATGTGACCCAGGTGGTACCCAGATAGAGGCCCCACCCCAGGCTCTGAAATCCCCCACAGTCTGGAGTGGAGGAAAGAGGCAGAGGGATTCAACACTGAAATGCCCTTGGACTAGTCCCTGAACCTCCCCACCAATCCAGTTCCTGTAGGTGAGCACAGTCAGTGCTTGGCACTTAGGTGCTCAGAATAAACTGCTTTTATTACTTGGATCCAAGCACCATGAGCGAACTTCCTTTGGCAGCTGGGAGCTTTTTGGCTGACTCTGTATTGCTGGGCAGCAGTTAGCCCCGATGGTAATAAGAATAACATTTATTATTACAGAAATGTAATAAGGGAGGAGTGGGGTCAGGGTGGTCTTTGTGAGGTTCAGGTCAAAGATGAAATGGATGGGCCTTACTGAGATCTAATTGGGTGCACCAGCTAAGCATGTCAGCGGGGGCCCAGAGAATCCTTAGGGCAGAGGCTCTAAACTCTTGGGTGCACATTTCTACATCACCTGAGCTTTCATAGGTCTGCCAGGCTGGGGTGGGGGCCGGGGGAAACTGCATTTTACGGAAGTCCCCATGCTCTCGGGGCCAGAGAGACTCACGCTGTTGGTCTGCTTCCTCTTCTAGTGATGCTCAGTGTTTGTGGCAGTTGAAAACGGTAAAAGCACTTCTATGCTCATGATGCCTGACCATCCCCTGAATTGAGCATTATGTTCATTTTTCATGAGATGCAGTAGAGTCACATCTTCCAGCTCCGTGTCCTTACCACTGCACTACAGCGTCCCCCTTGTAGGCCCCGTCCTCCCTCTGCACTGAGCCACCAGGCCAACGGCCAATCTTGCTAAGCCCCCAAGATAGTGATATGTTACGATCCTTCCCTGCCCACTAAGTGGCAACTACAAAATGCTGAGAGCTAGGGATGCTGTTTCTGAGGCCAGAGAACAGCTGAGGACTCCCAGGTTTGAGCCGTCCTACTCCCACCTCATGCATTGATTCTTTTTCTGATGGTGCTGGAACCCAGATTTCTATTCTCTGCCGCCCTCAGCTCCAGGACCAAGAGCCTGTTTATTTTAATACCTGGTGTGGCACTTGGGGAAGATCACACCTCCCCCGTTGTTACCCATTTCTACCTCCTGAACACTAATCCTAGAAACCCAACCAGCCCCCAGATATGTTGTTAGTAACCAGGATGTTTCTTGATGTTTCCAAGTTCACTCCAACCTTGCCATCTCAGCTTCTCAATTAGCTTTTGCCCCACCATCCTTAATGCTGCCAGCAAGGGCAAAGCTGATTCAGAGGCTCACGAGACCCAGGCAGACGTGGGTCCCAACGCCCTAGGACTGAGACAACTCCACTCACCCTCACCCCTACTACGCAGGTGATGGGGGATGATGTTCAAGTCTAGCCTCTGGCTTTTCCTCCCTTGTTTCATTCACTCTCCACTTATGGTCAGAGGTTCCAGGATATATGGCTGAAGAGCCTCTGGAAGCTAGTGTAGGGTCCTCGGCTGTGATGGACAAGGCAGAGTAGGCGGGTTTGGGTCTTTGCCTTTTCGGTCCCACTCGGTGTCTGGGCCTCAGATGCTGCGGGTGGACACACACACACCTGCTCCCTTAGAGCCTGAGCTTGCACCTCAGCTGTCTGGTGTCCTCAGCTGAACCAGAGCCACATGAGGCTTAAGGTCAGACAGAACCGAGGACAGTGCCTCTCAAGCTCTCACCAGGCCTGGCAGATGTGCTCAATAGTTGAGTGTCAACCCTTGAACCAAGAGGTCACTAGATCGATTACTGATTCCCTCTCAGGGCACATGCCCGGGTTGTAGGCTCGATCCCCAGAAGGGGGTGTGCAGGAGGCAGCCAATCAATGTTTCTCTCTATCCTTTCTCTAAAATCAATTTTTTTAAAAAAAAACATTTTAAAGAAAAACTCTCACCACGCTAATCCTACTGATAGTGAATAGGCCCCTGGATATACATTCTTAGCTCAAAGTAACCCTCAGCAAACTAAAATGACAACTGAATCTTATGTTCAGGCAAATTTTGCATTTTATGTTAATACTGTGTGTGTGTGTGTGTGTGTGTGTGTGTGTGTGTGTGTGTGTGTAAAATGCTTTAAATGACCTACCACTGGAGGCCAGTGTGAGGCTCCATAATTAACCTGTAGCTGTGTGTTCTCCTAGTACAGTGGTCGGCAAACTGCAGCTCGAGAGCCACAGTTTGCTGACCACAGTTAACGAGAAGCTTTGGAGAAAACATCCCAAGGTATGAGTTGTGAGCATTGCACTTTCTTATTTCTAGTCCACTTGGTCTGAGATAGAACCAGAATGGAGGGTTATGGCCCGGGGAGTAGGCATAAAGCTTAGGGCCTTCGGGAGAGTAAGAATTAAAGCTTTTCAGTTACACTGCGGGGATAGATAGTGCCCTGGAAGTTTCAATCAAGTTAGGCACTAGGTAACCATTGTGATCTCAGGGGCCCAGTAAATCTGCTTCCCGACCCCCCCAGCCCCCCAAAGCGGCTCACCATCCTTCTGGGCCTTGTAGTTGCTTTTAGCTGCTGCCATGACCTTCCTCCCCATACCCCCACCCTAACCCCTTGGGAGCCCTCCCAGAATAAATAGGGACTTCCTCAAGGTGGTGGTCAAGTTCCTCTATGAGTGGCTGTGTCTCTAAAAGAGAAAGGAAAAGGCCACATGAAACTTCTACATGCCAGGTGCTGTGTTAAGGACTTTACACAACGCAGCCCATTTTTTGCCTTGGGGGTCACATCTCCCATTTTACAAATAAGGTAGCTGGAGCTCTGAGAGTTCAAGGTGCTTGCCTTCAGTCCCATAACAAGTGGTAAGGCCAGGATCTAAATCCAGACCTGTCTGATTCTGAGGCTCATAAGCACTGTGCTCTCTGGACAGAAGAGAAGAGGGAACAATTGGGAAGGTGTCCAAAATGTAGAGCCCAGTGAGGAGAACTAGGTTCTGTGAAGAAACCATGGCCACAAGTAGTAGAAAGTGGTCGTGGGTGACGCTGAGTCCCAGAGGCAAAGACAGGTATTTCAGAGCTCCCCCTCTCCGTCTCTCAGCTCTGCAGGCATTTAAAATACAACTGTGACCAGGTTGCTACCCTGCTTCAAAACCCTTTAATGGCCCTAGCCGGTGTTCAGTGGTTAGAGCGTCAGCCCATGGACTGAAGGGTCCCAGGTTGGATTCCAGTCAAGGGCATGTACCTCAGTTGCAGGCTTGATCCCCAATCTTGGTCAGGACGGGTTCGGGAGGCAGCCAATCAATGTGTCTGTCTCACATCAATGTCTCTGTGTGTGTGTCTCCTCTCCCTTTCACTCTCTCAAAAAAAAAAAAAAAAAATCAATGGAAAAAATATACTTGGGTGAGAATTAACAAAAACAAAAACCTTTAATGCCGTCCCATCCAGCACAGGGCTATGTCCAAACTCCTACCTGGCAATCAAGGCCTTTGTTACCTCACCTCAGCCAACCGGGCTCCCTGTCACTCACCGTGATTCCTGCCCCGAGTGCAGGTCTGGTCCTGGACTGACGCCCAGGCCTCCTCTTCCACAACATCCCCACCCCAAGTCCATTTCTTTGAAGGCTCCTTCCCTGAAAGTGGCCTCCAGGACTCCTCTAACTAGTTGGCCCACTCCCTCTGCCTTCCCTCAGAACCTTGCCTTGGCGCAGCGCACAGCTCAGCGTGGCTGCTGCTGGTCCCCCCGCTGGACTGCGAGCCCCATTCCCGGCTCATCAGCGGCTGCCCAGCTCGGGACTCCCAATCTTTATATTCCACTTTTTGCCCTTCTGTGAGACAACTTAACCTCTCTCCGCCTCGGCTAGCTCATCTGTAAAACAGGACATTTGGGAATACAGCCAAAGCTCGGAGCACGTTGTCTGGCACATAGTAGGTGCTCATAAATGTTAGCTACTGATAATGACGCTGACAACGGCTGTTTTAGAATAAATACGTGGGTGGTTCTGCCCTCAAGGTCTGGTGTTTCCCGGTCCGGAGAGGAGAGGGAGCAGCTGTTCTGAGGGTTGCAGAGGTCATTCGCTGGGAGCAGAGCAGCTGTGCTCTGAGCTCTGTGCTCTCAGCTCTGTGCCTGGGCTGGAGTGAAGCAAACGCATGAGGGCCTCCCTGGTCCCTTCCTCCCACCCTCCAGGTTACAGCTAACAATACCGCAAGCAGAGGCGGGGTGGGTGAAGGTTGGGTCTGAGGATGAAAAAATTCGTCCAGGGTCGTCCCAATGAATGTGTCAGGCTCAGGGACCCAG